ACATAACTTTAGTTTGTTTATACTAGTTGAGTTTAAGCTAACTATTCTCATTACTGGTATTCTGTAGTGGATGTAGTTTCTAGTGTTGGTGGTCGTGTTGTTCAAATGTAATGCAATCCAACTTTTGAAGGAATAAGCGCTGCTCTATAATCGATATCAGCGGATCAGCGGAACTGAATATTTTTCTTATTCTAATTATACGCGGAAATAATCATTAGCTCTTTCGTTATTGTTCGGTGCAAATCAAGTTGTCCAATCACATATGAGTTTATGGGTTTAGTCTGTGAAAGCACGCAATCAGAAGCGTCCATATCTCTTTTGCTAATTAGCATAGATTAGTGAATAAGTGCCTCTGTCTCGCTCAGACTAATAATTGTCTCGTGAGATTTGATCACGCAGCAGCATCATGCCTGAACCAGCGAAGTCCGCGCCCAAGAAGGGCTCCAAGAAGGCCGTCACTAAGACCGCAGCGAAGGGAGGAAAGAAGCGCAGAAAGTCCAGGAAGGAGAGCTACGCTATCTACGTGTACAAAGGGCTGAAGCAGGTTCATCCTGACACCGGGATCTCCTCCAAGGCGATGGGCATCATGAACTCTTTCGTTAACGACATCTTCGAGCGCATCGCCGGTGAGTCGTCTCGTCTCGCTCACTACAACAAGCGCTCCACCATCACCTCGAGAGAGATCCAGACCGCCGTGCGTCTGCTGCTGCCCGGAGAGCTGGCCAAACACGCCGTGTCTGAGGGCACCAAGGCCGTCACCAAGTACACCAGCTCCAAGTAGAGCTCCACTCCAGCTCTCACACAAAGGCTCTTTTAAGAGCCACCCACCTTCTCGTTTAAAGAGTGATGTTGTAAATATTTAAGCCATCGTGTGAATATACGGTTTAATCCACATCGAATTTTATTGTGTTGATGCATTTATTTATTTTCCTCCACCCTATCACTCTCTGCTGTCACAACTTTCTGCTGCGTGACTTAAGTTAGCCTGCCATCAAATGTAAGCAGCAGTCATCACAATGTTTTAAACACCGTTTCTTCCTGTAAGATACTTTCTGTGTAGATCACCTTATTATTCTTTTATTAGTTATTCATTAGTTCGGCTTTTGGAGTTGGGCAATTGTGTCCGGGACGGACCGCCCACTTTAGTTCATGACTGACTATATTAAAATGTAATTA